GGCAGAGTGAACCTGGTAGGCAGGGCCGCCATAAATGCAGAGTCACAGGGAGACTTCAAAGCTAAGGGCAACATCCTGATTCAATACCCCTCTCCTGGGAATACAGAGACCTCTAACAGATGGTAAACTATCCCAATAGATGGATTATTTGAGGGGGCCAGGGTAGAAATCATTACAGACTGTATGAATCTCTTATAATAGTGTAGTACCAGTTTCTAGGTGTCCCAGTAGACATAAGTTTCAGTAGGTGAACTCTTTAGATTTGACTCAATCCATAAAAGGACAGGTTTTCTCAGAAACAGGAAGAAAGGGGGGAAAAAGGTGATTCATCCACATAAAATCATTTAATTTTGCTACATCAGTGGCTTATAGTGATTTTGCATTAATACCCAAAGTGGAGTGCATTTTACACAGCAACCTAGTACTTGTGTGTATACATGTACTTGTGTGTGTGTGTCTGTGTGTTTGTGTATCTGTGTGTCTGTTTAAAATCCAGTGAATGTATAACTGAAGCCAAGGTTTCATAAATCGGTACTTATCTTCATTAAACACAGCAGGTATGGTGCATTCTGGTACTACCTACTCAATTCTATTAATATTTCATTTCTTGTTAAAATATTTGTCCTGACCCACTCAATTAATTTCACAGCCCACTCATATGAGGATTGCAACTGCAGTTTTAAAGCACTGTTCCAGATCATTCTCATTATAGATAGCAGAGTGTAGACGTTGCTCAGGTCTTGCTCTTTCTTTTCACTGACCTTGGTCAAGTGACTGACACTGTCTGTGACCCAAGTATACTGTAATCTACATTTTGTTTCAAGAGTCACTGAAAGAATAAAGTGAGAAATCATTTCATCATTCACATGACATTTTTAGAACTGAGCCTGACTAATAGCAGGGGCTCAATAAATGCTGGCCTGCTTCCCCATCATTATCTCTAGGAGGCCAACAGAGCAAAACTGTCTATCACTGGGGAGTCCTTATGCCCAGAAATCAACACTCACCATGAAATCTAATATCTTCCCACTCTCTTCTCTCCATCTGCTCTACTGCTTTGAGATTTTCAGATCCTCAAACACACCAGGACTACTACAAACTCACTTTCTTTGCTCCTGATTATTCCTTTGGCAAGAGTGATCTTCTCTCTAATATTTAGATAAATGAATCACCTAATCACCCCATCCATGCTTTTAGTCAGAAAAAAATTAACAGAGCAGTTTAAGATGACCTCTTAACAGAAAAGCCTGCTTGCAAGGCTGACCCTGAGCTGGCATCTGGGTACTTGACTGTTAGTTTCCTGCACTAACATGAAATGTTTTCTAAATGGTAAGCATGGCTCACTGTACCAACTATACAAACGGTGTGGCTAATGCTGGACACCTGCTTTCCTTCGAGGTGTCTGGGATTTGGGCACATACTAAGTAGAGCGTGCCTATCAGTCCCCCATTAAAATACTGGGCACTCTGTATCTAATGAGCTTCTCTGGGAGGCAGCACTTGGCATGAGTTGTTACAGCTTGCTGCTGGAGGAATTAAGTGCAACCTGTGTAATGTCACTGGAAAGGACTCAGAACTTGACCCATTTTCCTCTGGACTTCATCCCAGGTGCCTTTTCCCTTTCCCAATTTTACTTCATATCATTTAAAATTGTAAGTCCTAGCCATAGTTTGTGAGCTCTTATAAATCAACATACCTACAGAAGGTCTTGGGAATCCCTGACACATATGCCTCCATGCAAATGTTTCCTCCTTGTAGAAATCTTCCCTGGCCACTTTCTCTGCAATATCAGTATTCTCTTACCCCAACCATTCCCTATCTTCTTTTTTTCCCTAATATTTTTGAATTTTATTTTTTAGACATTCAATCACTGTATATTATTACAGCAAGCAAAATGAATTTTCCCCTGCATATTAGTCCAGTCAAAGATACTATGTTATCAACAGATAATTTTTCATTTTTGTGTCCCTTAAATGTTTTGCTTCTTTCTTTTTCCCTGTGCAGAAAAATACAACAGACCATTGCTTCATTTGTAACTATTTTATGGTCTACCTCACTGAACATAAGCTTCACAAGGGCACTTAGGCAGTCAATATTTATTGAGTCCCTATAATGTATCAGATGTTGTGCCAGGCACCTAGGGTTTCTCAGGAAAAAGACAGAAAATCTTTTTCGAGCATCACTTTCATGTATGGGAGGAGACAGACAATAGACTGCTTATTTGTTTAATATCACAAGGTAATGGGCACTAAAAAAAAAAAGAATAAAGCAGAGTCCAGGGACATTGACTGACATGGTGCTATTTCTACTGACATTAGAAAAGTTTCTTTGAAAACATCATGTGTAGAAGACTGGGGAGCCACAGACTAACCAGACTTCTCAGAGGAGGTAATATAACCATACTTAAAGAGAAGCCCTCTGACTAAACTCTGTATCACATGACTGGAAATCAATATGATCCCAAAGGTTCTATTCACAAGTCATAATTTAAACAAAGGAGAAAAATTTCTTTGGCAAATGAGACAAAATAACTTGGATGGATAAATTTTCATGAACATAGCCTACAATTGAGAATTTAGGATTTCTTTCATTTTAAAACAATAAAGTAAGTTCTACCAAAACTTTTTCCATGTCTTAGTGACTAGTCAGCATGTCCTGCAATAACACCTTGCTACCTTCAGAGTTTAAACACACTGACTTTAAAACCAAAACTATTCATACATTTCTCAATCTAAGAGAAGAAAAATGATTCACTCTTAAATGTAAAATCCCCACCTAGTCTAGACTGGAATGGATTTTACCCAATATAAAATGACAACTCTACAGTGTCTCCATCTCCATGCAAGTCCAGCTTCAACCAGAAAGTATCGAACAAGTTTTATAGTCATAAAATTATATAGTATTAGAACTGGAAGGGGCTGAGAAATCATCAAGAAAAACAATCTCCCTGTCCCTATGGTTTTACTATTAAGGAAAGTAAAGCCCAGAGAGGTTGTGCTGAAGTTCACAAGGGCAATTTACAAACCTAAAGTACAGTCTCCTAATTGTAATCCAGAATTGTCAAGATAGAGAATGAATTTCTTTCCAGATAAACAAATGAACTCAGAAAAAGAAAGCATTATATGGCACATCCATAAAAACTGGGAACTTGGCTCTGCTGTGGTAGTGCATACTAGTTGCTGCTGCTTGGAATACTGAAACCACATGGAAAGCCAGGTTGGACTCCTAGTTGACCTAAAAAACCAAGTCCAAGGGCAGATGCCTGTGGTCCCAGCTACGAAGGAGGCTGAGAAAGCAGGATTGCAAGATTGCAGCTAGCATGGGAAACATAGCAAGGAAGACCCTGTCTGAAAGAACTAGGCATGGTGTTGCACTCTTGTGGTTGGTCCTGATAACTTGGGAGGATGAGGCAGGAGGATCGCGACACAGGGAGACATTGTCTAAAAACCTAAAACCAAAGCAAATAAACACCACACACACACACACACAACTGAGAAGTTGTGCATCTCCTCATCTGGATCCAGACTATCCAGGAAATAAATATGAATAAAGGAAATGGAGGTCAGACAGAGACACAGGAGTAAAACACAATGCTCTTCCCACTAGCAAAGGTTTCCAGTTCACAGCCAGAGATCTCCCTTGGTATGTGGGGCACATAGGCTGCCCATGAACTGGGCTGGCTGAGGCTGAGGATGGAGTGCTGGAGACCCTGCCAGGAGTGTTGTCACTGTCTCTCTCATTCTCTTTCTCACTCATGGAATTAATAAATAAACTTCATTTTAAAAAAAGAATAAAGCAAATGGCCCTTGCCCCCAGCTACTCCTTCTTTTTTTCTTGAGAGAAAACACTCACATCAAGGTATAGAAATATATTTCATCAGAACCCAGGGCATGCTAAAGAGCACACCAGTTAGTAAAAAACTACTATTTTTCAGTAATCATAACTACCACTTATTGAGCCCTAGCTACATGTCAGGAACTGCATGAGAGCTTTACATTATTTTTTCATTCATCATTACAACTTTGCCTCCATTTCCTCCATCCCATTTAGAGTAAATTAGTGGGCTAAATAACTTGCCTGAGGTCAACTGTGGATACCAGAGACAGTGTGGGAGGAGGGAGGGAAATGGCAGAGAGTGAAACGGAGGGACTCAAGGCGGAAAAGAAAGAATCAAAACATTTAAGGAAGACAAAATGAAAAATTATTTGTTGATTATAATATGTACAGTAATATCTTTGGTTGAGCCAATATACAGTGAATTCTGGATGGGAAAATTCATTTTGCATGTTATAATGATACACAGTGATTATAAAATAAATTTAAAAAATGAAAAAATTAGATATAACATATAAATGAAAATCAAATTGGTAGCCTTAGAGCTCTCATAATAAGTCAGCATCATGTAGCACTTACCTGGAGGACTTTATTGACTGTTATTACTGGAGCTTCATCATTTATAGATTCAATCATCACAAAAAGAGTTTGGGGCTGACTTTGTTTTCTAAGATCTGAACTATTTGCAAAGATGGTAAAGTTGTCAAGAAGCTCCTCGCTATCATCATGAACATAGTAAATCAATTCATTTTCCACCTAAAACAAACAACAAAATCACCAACTTGCTGAAATGTGACTTAAAAATACAAATACGCTCAACCACATTAGTACAGAGGTAGTGTGTCACTTTATGATGCTAGACTATGTGGAAGGTCAAGGTTGAGTTTTTGGGTTGATCTGTAGGTGCTGTGCATGTGTGCTTATAGGCCTGGTTGACTAGGAAGGCTTAAGGGAAGATTGCTGCATAAGAATTTATTAAGGATGCTCGTCTTTCTCTTTCTTTCGATAAGTAAATAAGCATTTCTTTAGAAATATGAATAGGACCAGCAGATGGTATGGTGGTTGAGGTGGCTGGATCCAACATGGTCAACTTCACAGACCAAGTCCCACACCCAACAGCTTAAAAAACACACTGGGTGCATGTGCTTACATGTCCAAAATCTAAAGAGAAGAATGGTGGGGAAGGAATTGCACTGTGGCCATCTCCCCCAGGAGATTTCTCTCTCTCTCTCTCTCTCTCTCTCTCTCTCTCTCTCTCATGAGCACACATGCCTATGGCAAATTTAAATATATATATGTGTATGTGTGTATATATATATGAATAAATTACTATATAAAAATTCTATTTTTAAACATCTCTAAATTACATAAGCATGTATCATCCCATAAAGATTTGAGTCTTGACAACCAGAGTACAATTTGAGATGAAGATAAAGTTTTTCTGAAATAATACTTCATCCTATAATAAATTTAAGGAGGAACAGAGCAATTGAGCAATGTGGTACAGTAGAGAGAATGCTGGACTGATAATGAAGACCCGAGATCAGATTCCTTTTTTTTTTTTTTTTTCCTTTGGAGAGGTTTTTGCTATAGGGCACATGTGCTCACCAGGGAGATAGAGAAACAGAAAGTGAGAAGTCACCCCCAACCCCCACCCCAGGGGCAATGGCCATGCCACAGTCCCTTCTCCTCCACTCTCCTCTTGGGATCTTGGGCACACATGCACACTCGCCCAGTGTGAGTTTAAGCCACCAGGTCCGGGACTCAAACCACAGTCGACTACATGGGAGTCCAGTGACATAGCCATTATGCCAACTGCTGGTCCTGAGATGCCATTTTTAACACTGATGTGTGTTGTGGGTGACATAATCTAGTCTTTCTTACAATAGAACAGCACCCAATAAAACTCAGAACATTTTATTTAAAGACTAATTTTTTGAAGTTATTGATTGTTTTGTTGGACAATTCAAACTGTTAGATTTAGGCTTTAAAGCTTCTGCCAACTGACTGAATTTCTTTCTTTAAAGACATATGAACCAGGACAACTCTTAAATTCTCTCAAACTTCTCTTTCTTGAGCTACGTATATATTGGTCCCTTAACTGTTTTTTGTATGTGAGGTTACACCTCTTACCTCCTAATTCTATTCCTCCTTTTTTGTGTGCATTTCTGAAGGGATGCTACCCATAACTAGCTAACTTATCTCCATAGACAGACTCTCATTAAATAGATAGGAATAAAATTACTCTAGCACGGTATCTCTCCCTCACTGTAATAATCTAAATGCAAACATCTACTTTTACTCCTGTTAGATTTCATCTGCTTAATTTTAATTCTGATGTAGTCATCCAGTGAATTAGGTATCCCTTTGAGTTTTGTAATAACCACAAATTTGATCAGAATGCTTTCCATGTCTTTAAGACTGATGGAAATACTAACAAGTACAGGATCAAAATCAGAGGCCAAGGGAATTTTAAAGTTAGAAGAGAATTTAGCTTCATTGAGCCTGTGACCCAAACGTACAATGGCAGGGAACTTCCAAACACCAGGAGTTGTTGAACTTTTGAAAAAGTCTCTGGGGTTTTGTTTGTTTTAATAAAATACAGCCAAAATTTTTAGCAGTTTAACTTCGCCCGTTCCTGTGGCGCACTTCCTTTGAGCAAAGTCTTTTGATCTTGCAGAGGTGTTTCTGAAAAGAGTTGAAAAGTTCATGATGGGTCTCAAGGGAAAGTTGTATCCACTCACAGGCAGGTGCTGTGAGAATTTATTTATTTATTTATTTAATTATTTACTTATTTATTTATTTAGTGTCTCTGGGCAGGTCACAGGACTGTCCACGTGTTTCTGGAACATGCTGTTTTAAGCTATTTAAGATCAAATATGGAAGATGGCATCACACAGAGGGTGAAGAAGTTTTAACCTTAAACTTTGGGAACATAACATTTAAGTAACAGTCACCTTCAAAGTATTTTTCCTGGAGAAATACATTATTTCTTCAATGGAGTGGGACTTCCCCAAATTACATATCATTTAGTAGTATTAATCTGAAGGCAAAGAAAGGATGTGTTGAGCATTTATCTGTCCTAGACTTCTAGAACTAGAAAAATATTTACTCACCTGAAATGAAAGGATATAACAAGCTTGGAGAAAATCTTGACAGGTACTTGTTCCCTTGTCACCAATTCTGATCAGGGAATACTGTGCCACTCCTCTGCTCATATCCTCTCTCGCCCCTCACCCTTCATTGTTCCCTATCTCTCTCCTCACTCAGGGTCAGAGATGAAGTCTCAGGCCTCCCATCTCTGGCCTTGGTAACATTGTCCACCGCTCCCCCCACCACGCATGCAGCTCCAGCGATGCTGGAGGCCTTGTTGCCCCTCAGACACACCAAGTATGCTCCCCACATGGAGTGGCTGCTCTTACTCTTCTCTCTGTCCGATATACATTTAGATAATCCTTCATCCCCTTTCCAGGTGTCTGCTTCAGTGCTGCCTCGTCACTGGGGCCTTTCCTAACTACTCTATTAGAAAGTGAACATCAGGACGGTTTGGGGATATAGCAGGTAACACTCTGCTCAAGCAATGCTAGATTTATGTAGAAGATGGTTTAGTTCCCTAGTTGACCTGTTCATGCTGACCACACGTGCCCATGATTGGCTGGCTGGGAGGACTGAAAGTGGACCATGGCATGAGACCCTGTTGACAGTGCTTGTCTCTCACTTTCTCTTGCTCACTCTCATGAAAGAAAGAAATTTTAAAATAAAAAAAGAAAGAAACTGAACACTGACATACACACACACACACACACACCACTAAAGGACCAGGACTTCCACTCTCTTTTCTGCTTTATTTTTTCTATAGCACTATTCTTTATCCAAAATACCATTTATTTCAAGTACTTATTTTACTTCTTGTCTCCCCCTTCCTCCCATCAGAAAAAAAAAAAAAAAGCTCCACAAGGGCAGAGATTATTGCCTAGTCGTTTACCATCTTATCCCCAGTACCTAGAACTAGCATCCCTGAAACAAAACAGAGACTAAAAGACTTCTTTGAATGAATGAAGGAGAGTCTCAGGTAGAGTCTCTTAGTGTCACTGTAAGATAAAATGGAGACCTCAGGAATCATATAGAAGAACACAGTATAGAGGGATGATCTACTGTAGAAAGTAGAGCCATGTAACTGTAACTCTTCTCTGTGAACAAGGCTACACCATAACATAGACACCACACAGGTCTCCTGACACAGGTTCAATCTGCTTAAATACAGACCTCCTACAAAGCACAATCAATCATTGAATCAACCAAGATAGGATCAAAATTTAGCACCCTGAAGACAGGACAACAATTTAGTGCTTAGTCTCTCATCTAGATATACAAAGTGAAGAGTATTCTATTTAAGTCACACCGGAGAAGTTGATTATTTTGGATAGTTTGTCCAGTATTTGAGAGAAAAGCCATGATTAAGAGATGCCTGCATGGGGTCACTAAAGAAATACCCTCTCCAGGGAACCAGCAGTTAGCGTAATGGCTGTGTTGCTGGACTCCCACGTAGTCGACCGCGGTTCGTGTCCCGGACCCGGTGGCTTAAAACTCACGCCGGGCGCGTGTGCGTGCGTGCCCAAGATCCTGAGAGGAGAATGGAGGAGAAGGGATTGCGGCGTGACCATCTCCCCTGGGGGGTGATTTCTCGCTTTCTATCTCTATGTCTCTCTCTGTCTGTCTGGCGAGCACACACGCCCTACAGTGAAAATCTCTCCAAAAAAAAAGAGAAAAAAAAAAAAGAAATACCCTCTCCAGGTCCCTAGTTGAGAAGCACCAATGCCTAAGGTCTTTTCCAACCCTCTGCCTCTCCCCATGGCTCCCTCATGCCACCTGGTAAGTCTAGCCCCTTGTCATCTAATCCAAAGTAATTCATGTATTATATACTCTTTAGGCTGGGAATCCATCTCCTGTGGACAGAGGCAAGGACTTCTCCACAGGCTAGCACTGAGCACTTTCCACCACTCAGGCTATGGGTGAGTCCCCTTCCTTGTAAAGCCTCCATGCCCTTGGCCTTTGCTTTCATTGCTTTTTCCTGTTTCCTCTGTTATCTCCTTGTTCTTTCTCTCTCCTCAAAGTCAGGATTAAATGTGTCTCCCTCTGTGAAGACTCTCCTATGTTCTTCAGTCAAAATCAAGCGTGCCAGTTTTGTACTCCTACACCACCACTGTGAAAATTCCATGGAAGAGGCAAGGACCGTGTACAGCAGTGTATGGCTAGTTCCTCCACAGCAATTCATGAGTGCAAGGAATATGTTTCCTTACCAGGCTAATTCCACACAGTAATTCAAACAGAGTGTTGACTAAATGTATGTAAATAAGTTGGTGAGTTGAATTCGTAGAAGCAAAACAAAACAATGTACATGTATTTTTAGCTGACTAGACAAAGCATTCAGAGATAGTAGGTGCTTGTTCATGGATTCTAGCCTAAAAAGTATGTATTCCTGGAAATGATGGGGATGTGCAAGCTACTATTCAAATTTTAAAAAGAAAGTAATGGAAATTATTCTTTTACTCATGACAAGAAAGTGAAGTCTGACAATATCACTCTAACCCAAGTGAAGAAACCTGATAGCAACCCAATGCTGACCTTGGTTACTGTCTCCTGAACGCATGCCAGATTGGTAGGCTGCACGCAGTCTACCTGAATACCGGGGGCTATATTGACCATTGGTAGCCCTATGCTTAGCACTGCATGACACAGTGTGTGTATTTATATGCTGTAAAGATTTATTGAATGAGGGAAACACATTAATTAAAAAACTCAACTGATGATTATTACAGCACACCTGTGTTAAATATCTACATGTTACTCTGGTATCACTGAGAGGGACAGTGACAGTGTCATGCTGCTCTGGAATTGGGCAGTCAGGATGGCACAGGAAACTCACTGTACATTAACAAAAATTGGAGGACTAGGGTTAACCTAAAGAAGGGAATTTGATGAACTTTTCTTTCAAATATGAATTCTATACCAGGAAAACTAAGGTCTGACACACAGAAATAAAAGTACAAAAACAACCAAGAGAATGGCCAACTTAATGGTAGGGACAATTCTGGAAAGATCAATAATAATGTTGAATGTTAACTTCCAGAATTTAAACAGAAAAATCAGACCATAGTACCACTGCAAATTCAACAGAAGAGAGATTAAATACATGAGACTGAACTGGTGAAATAGAATTTTATGACCTTTGACTAAAACATTACTGATTTTCTTCTATGCTTTGTTTTCCAGATTTAAGAATTTTTGTCTTCCCTTGAGCTGTTGATAGGTTCATCTACTTACTATTTGAACAGTATCCTAAACTTTTTCCTGGCTTTAAGTCTTAAGCAAACTTCTCTTAACATTTTTTATTTTGAACTATTAAAACTAAAACTTCTTTTCTTGAAATTAAAACATGCATTAAAAATACCTATTGAATGACTGCAGTGAGCTATATAGCCCCAGCTAGGTGCTACTTTATAGTATGTTCATTCTAGTCACTGATTTTTATGCCTAAAGTCAGACATGCTCATAGATATGTATGTATCAGCTGCATTTGCTATTGAAAGTATTTAGATTAAGATCTTTCTTTTTCTTTTTCTTTTTTTTTGGAGAGGTTTTTGCTATAGGGCGCGTGCACTCGCCAGACAGACAGAGAGAGACAGAGAGATAGAAAGCGAGAAATCACCCCCCAGAGGGGATAGCCACGCCGCAATCCCTTCTCCTCCATTCTCCTCTCGGGATCTTGGGCATGCACGCACACGCGCCCAGCGTGTTTAAGCCACCTGGTCTGGGACTCGAACCACGGTTGACTACATGGGAGTCCAGCAACATAGCCATTACACTAACTGCTGGTCCCGTAGATTAATTAAGATCTTTTGTGAATCAATAAAAGTTGGGGTAAAGAAAGAACTTTCATGAAAGAAAGCAGGGTTCTGTTGTAGGGTGCCAGAGCCAGGATCTAGGGAAAATGTTTCAAAGTGGCAGATTTCAGCTTGGCCTATAGCACTTCTAACAAGTGAAGCCTTTGTAAAACCAAAAGAGCTCATTTCAGAACTAGCACATTCACTTTCATTGAGGGCAAGTAAACAATGTTTGAAAACCTCTCTATGGTGATATAGAGAAGAGTTTCTAGCATGGAAGGTAGGACTAGATACCCTCCAAAGCTTCATCACCTCCAGGAGTCCATGCATCTAGACAATAAATAGCACCCTCCCCTTTTGTTTTCTCTTCCCAACACACCCAAATATAGTAACTAAGAGTTATTACCTGTTTTCTGGTAAATTTCATTAGTTTTACTTGTGGAAAATCAGAACTTTCAACGTAACCGTGTTTTGGTGGTTCAAGAAGAACAAACTCACAGTCAAGTCCCTCAAAATATTTGCTTGGAATTTTGAGGTAGTCTTCCATAAGTGCTTTGGAACCACCTTCTTGAACTGTGAAATTCTTCACCTCCAGAGGAATCCAATTAGGGATGATATCCACCAAGATTTCTACTCTACTTACAACTAGGAAACCATTTGTCACATCCAGGGAAAAATGGTCTTGCTGTTGCTCAGGAACTGTCTGAACATAAAGAATATTGCCATCATCAACATCCTGTTGTGTAAAAATCAATGGAGAGTTTCCATCTGCTTCCAAGGTGCCTTCTTCTGGTGTAGACTTCTGGAGGTATCCATGCATTGGTGGGGTTCTGACAATGTACACTGCCTCTGAAGGCATATTATCTTCATATATACCCTTGAATTCACATATACAACACAGAGACACAAGAAGAAACACATATTAGTAAACGTAAAATTCAAGACAGGTTTGCTACACAGTGTAAGTCTGAGTCTGTTCAGGTGGCATGCCCATATTTTGAATATCAACCCTGGTCACAAAGAAAAAAGTAATTATCAGCAAGACTTGAGCAGCTCCTAACGTATTAACAAGGCAACACTCGTAGCAGAAAAAAACAAAAAAAAAAAAAAAAAAAAAAAAACAAAAACTCAAAAAAAAAAAAAAGAAAAAGAAAGTAAGAAATCACCCCCCTCATGTGGGAACGGCTACATGGAATTCCTTCTCCTCTGTTCTCCTGTTGGGATTTTTGGGAAGCCTT